CTTTTTAAAGTCAAATCTCAAATACCGCACCTTAGTCTGACATATTTGTGCCTTTTTCCAACAGTCTTTTTTCTAACTCACTATAAAGGAGGAGGTCATATTGTAACCTGTTGGCTCTTAAACCCTTTGAAGATGACCAATGTACACATATTATGGTAACATATTTAGAATTTAACCCTTTGATAACAACCAATGTAAACATATTTAAACCTTTTAACATAGTTGAAACCAACAAACATACATTTTTTTTTTGATAAATCACTCTTGTGCATCTTTTGACATACCTAGACCTTCTGGTCTTGTATATCTTTTTATCTTTTTAACAAGACAAACATACAAAATTTTTTATATCAAAATTGTATCTTTTACTTATAGCTTTTAAATATATATATTTTATTTCACTATAGACCTTTTATCACAAACTAGTCTTTAGCTGTTAAAATTTTAAAGTGTCCCTTTTTTCATTCTCAGATAGTTAACACTTTAAATTTGGTTGGCTGCCAATAGGATGTAGTAATCTTGAGGGGGGTTTTTATCAACAAAGTACAGAAAAGAGCAAGTTAACCTTATAATTACAATTGAAGAATTTGCAATGTACAATACTTTAAGCACACCAATTAAACATCAACTCAAACTGAAACACAGATACATTTATCAATTAACTAAAATTTGTAACTTTTCAAACTGAAACACAGATACATTTATCAATTAACTAAAATTTGTAACTTTTCAAACTGAAACAGATATTTATCACTTAACTAAAATTTCTAACTTTTCAAACTGAAACAAATATTTATCAATTAACTAAAATTTCTAACTTTTCAAACTGAAACACAGATACATTTACCAATTAGCTAAAATTTGTAACCCTTGTAAAATTTTTTACTTTCTCTGGCTTTATATCCTTCAGAGCTTTTTTTAGCTGTTTTTAATCCATTACTCATTTTTTCTTACTAATTTTTAAAATTTGAGTGTAAGCCCTATTCCATCCTTTCTGAGTCTGATCACAGCACGGTGCTCTGAAGCCAAGCAGTTTTCACGCTTTTGTCCCCACCTCCTCCAAACCTGTGAATTTAGGAACTCAAAAGGAGGGGGAAAGTCTAAATTCTCTCCCAGATCTGAAAGGACCAGTCACTTTTCAGCATGGTCCCCTTTCTGACGGAGGACCAGGATGTTGCTTTTCACTTCCGGGCCGCACATATGAAGCCAAGGAGGCATTCTGTGGCACAATGTGAGCCCTAAATCAACATAGGGAAATTGATCTGGATGTTCCCGTCCAGGGGTGGTGACTGTTAGCCAGACGGACCAGGCGAGACCCTCACCTAGGGATCTCCCTATTGGCCAAGCTGGGCAAAGCTCGGGCTATTCTACCTCACAAAAGGCTCTAAGTTTGGGGGTTTCATCTTAATACCATAATTTCCAATAAACCCTTCTTAAAATTCCTAAGCATGCATTCCAAAACTGTAGGACGAGATGGTTCTGTCCCCACGACCGGCACCTCAGAGTGTAGGTGTGTGTATGGGTGCCCTTGTACGGAGACCCAAGACAGACAAAGGTGGGGATCACTCGCTCACCTGCCTGGCTGCGGGCTTCTCGGCCATTGTGAGGTCCCTTCAGGCTAAGGCGGGCTGTCGCCACACACAAATTCTATGACTCGGGGAGGACTCTAAGCACAAGCGCTTCCTCCCTCTGTCTTGTTCCACAGCTCGTTCCACACACTCTCCTGTCCAGAACTCTTTCACTCACACATTTATACAGAAGTTATCACATTCCCTCCCGGTGACCCCTAACCGTGACCAAAACAAATGAAAGAAGCTACCTCCCCAAATGGCAAAGCACAAGGGGTGATCAGGCCCCTGCGCTGTATTTGCCCAAACTTACAGAATACAAATTCACAAGGCAAAACCAGAAGTTAACCACTAGGGGGTTTCCCGGGGTTTCTCACCTGGCAAAGGAAAGAGACAGAGGAGACACCAAGAGCAGCAGTCCTCCTTCTGTGGTCTCCTTCTCGGGTTCGGGCGATCCTCTGCCGGTGAGCGGGTCTCTGTGTCCTGTTGGGGAGCCTAGGAAATTAGTCCCAGGGGTGCGCCTTTGCTGTCCAGGAGACAGAGAGCCGCTCCCTCCGGTGGGGTTCGGGCCGATGCCCAAAAGGGCTATTTCATTCCCGATTCCCGGTCAGGGAACCAAAGGTTGCAGAAATCTTGGAAAGAAATACACAGAGACACAGAATTCGG